AGCAGTGACAAAATATTTTTCTCATAGCTTTAATTGTTCTCTGCATAAACTGTCACATACAGGCTATACATTATCCTAGAGCAGGGGTGTCAAAATCAAGGCTCGTGGGCTGAATTGGGCCCACACGGCTGCCCTGGAAACAGTGAAGGACCAGCACACAGGGCCTCTGCCAGTGAAAATGGAGCTCAGAGGGCCGCATGCTGCCCTCCTGAACTCCATTTTCCCTGGCAGAAGGTTGCAGGAGGTAGTTTCAGCCGAAAACAAGGCTCGGAAGCACATTTTCATTGGCAGAGTGCTCAGGCCATCAAAGGGGCCTCTGACAAGCTGGCCATGCCCTGGCCAAGGCCATTCCAGTCCTATGAGGTCAAATACATCCCTGATCAGGCCCTCAATGAAGTCGAGTTTGACACCCCTGTCCTAGAGCCATGGTGACGCAGTAGTTAGAATGCAGTACTGCAGGCTAACTCACTGCTCATTCCAGAAGTTAAATTCCCATAGGCTCCGTGTTCATGCAGCCTTCCATCCTTCTGAGGTATAATGAGGACCCAGATTGTTGGGGGCAATACATTGACTCTGTAAGCCACTTAGAGGGGGTTGTAAAGCACCGTGAAGCTGTCTGTAAGCCTAAGTGCTATTGCTATTATGATCTTTAGAATGCTGACTTCTGCATCATTTCAGCCAGTATAGATTATCAAGTGTTGGGGAATATACTAATTGGTCTCATATCACAAGCTGAACCCTCTAGTTTAATATGACTTGAAAAGATTGACACTATTCCTCTTCTATTTCTCCATATGACAGTTTTTAAGCATTAACTTAACTATTGCTAACCACTTGCTAGATGTAATTTCAAACATAAGTTAGCTAGAAAATATGAAAAGAAAAGAAAAATACTTTACCTTTTTATCAGAAAAGCACAATAGTATTGACAACAATAAACCCTGCAAAAAATGAGAGAGAGAGAGAGAGGGAGGGAGGGAGGGAGGGAGGGAGAGAGGGAGAGAGAGAGAGAGAGATTTATTTCAGGACTGCAGGGAAATGTTCATCATCTTCCTTCCTTTCATTTTTTTTCTCACAATGCAACTCAGGAGATAAATTGGATGAAGACTATAATTGGCCCAAAGAACATCCAATGAGTGTCCTTCCCTGATAATGGAACTTGAGCCTCAGTTTTCCTGATTCTAATTCAATAATTCAATCAAATGTTCTAAGAAAAAAAGGGATGATAAGAATATGACTCCAAAGCGATAGCTGATAGGGCTAATTGTCCTCTTTAAAAATTCCATCTAAATATGAAGGGCATCCTTGGTGTTGTAGTACTTAAACTATGGATTGAGACCCCTGCAGAACTGAAAGCTATTTAAATGGGGCAATCACATTTTAAAAAAAAAAATCAAGCTCTTGAGAGATCAGTGGTGTGCTAATAACAGCCAGTTGTGTCAGTCAATTGTCATCATCATGCTTCTGAGCAGCCAAAGAGCTAATGAGAGAGAGAGAGAGAGAGAGAGAGAGAGAGAGAGAGAGAGAGA